AGAAGTTTAGGAAAGAGGCACATCATGTCACCTTCTCTGTTCAAAACTCCTATTTATAATAAAAGGCTTAATTCTGACAGAATAAATTCCCTTTGATTTTGTTTAGTTTTGTCTAGTCCATCAAATTTCAAAACTATTTGAGGGCACATCGCATATTTTTCTGGAACATAACCTATGAGTATCTGCCAGAATTAAATTCCCTTCCACCATGACACCTTTGTTCTTAAACAACTCTAAATTCCTCAATGAACGGATCAAGAAAATAATGACTTTAGAAAACAACTTACCAAGGTCACTGAACTAGTTAGAATGGCCAAGCATGGAACACGGATCTCTACTGGTCTCTGACTTCCTTCAAAAGCACTGTTTAGTTCCACAATTACTCATTTGACCAGCCTGTCCTTGTCCCTAAGCCTTATTTTCAAGGGTCTTAATTCTGTGCCTTCTTCATTATTCTCAGAATGCTCTCCCTACTCCTCACTCCTCCCCAATCCATCTCTTTTCAACTCCTCTATTAAGCCCTAGCAAACACGTCTGCCTACCCCCACTAACCTTCTCTGGAAGTATCTTGCAGTTTGCTGATATCAGATATTTGAGACCCTGATTCAAAATTATTTTATAGGTGCTAGACTATTTTAAGTAAACTGCACAGCCTTCAAAATGTTACACACATTTTAGGTTTCATTCTAGTGCCTTGCACATAGCAGGCAGTCCATAAATATTTGGTGACTGATAGAAGAATCATGATTTATAGTGTTCTTAAACAAATGAATAAGTAAGATTTAACCTCAGTAAACTATCAGAGTGATTAAAATAACATATTAAAGCTACATCAAATTTGGTACCACCTACTTACCCTATTGATATGTGGGTAAGCCCTGGAAATGAAGACCACATGCAAGATTTGGTTTGATCCTCTCCCCACTACGAATAGGTCTTCCCTAATTTTCACAAATCTACAAAGCTTCAACTAGTCTCTTGTCAGCTAATCCCATCAATTTCACCTTTGCTTACTTTGGTGAGCTATACAAAAGGAGACTGCCCTAAATCCTGTACACAGAGGAGTGAGAGGGGAACTAATGAAAGTGCAAAGTCAAATCTTTACCCGTGGTGCTTACATGGTTTTCTAATCAATACTCTACAGAAAGAAATAAGAACAGAAAAGCAGCATGACTGCCACATCTGGATAAAATGCCAGTACTAGAGCTCCACATTTCCACTCATATTTTGCTAGAAGCACTTTTCTTTTAAAGGAGGCATGATACCAGGATATTCACTTTCAATCTATCAGAGTATATCCAAAGAAAACAATATCCAAATGGTAATGCTGCTTCTGAGGTACACACTGAAAAGAACAGGGCGTTCAACTTTAGCCTCCTCACCTACCCTCTTATCTTCTATCATGAGACTCTTCACACATCACATACTTGAACTTTAGGGCACAATTACTCAAGACAAGAGTCCCTAGAGAATATGAAACTATCTCAGGCAATTTCACTGCCTATATAAAGCATGGGACTTCTCAAACAACCCCCACGCTTTTATCATAAGATTCCAACAATAGTGGGAAAGAACATAAAAATGCAAGTTCTCATTAGACACATTTCTTATTTTCATTCAAGTTAAGTTAGACAGGTACATTTATATTAGCACCTTACATTAAGGGTTAGAAGTCTGTTATTTAAAAGGAAAGCCAAAATCAGCTATTCAAGACAAAATCATGGATCAAGTAATATGTCCATTAATACCCAAAGCATACTACACCACAACTTGCCAGCATAAGCTATAAGCCTAGGTGTACAAGCCAACATTTCTGGTTTCTTATCACAACATCTTAACAGTAGCAGCCTGATGACATGCAGGAACAACTGTTTTAATTTCTAAGCACAGGCACAAAAACATAATATTTAGGGTTACTCTTGGCAGCTATTATTCTTAACAATTATAAATATTCCTAGAACACACATCTCTATCCAAGTTCACAGTTTAATTTATCTGTGTCCTAGTAAGTCCTCACATTTCTTGGTGACCATAACTGTTCAAACTTGGCACCGTGGGACACCAGAGATTTTATTCCAATAATCACACACATATTTTTTGACCATTCAGCATAGACACAAAACAAGGTGCAAACAAATCAACCTTTACCCAAGGAACCAGTCATGAGTAAAAATTATCAATCTAAAAAAGTTTATTTATAGCTTTTGTACAAAAGTTGGACCTCCTAAGTGTGAACACTGAAACATTATCCAATAATATTAAGGAACTTGTTAATTCATTTAGGTGTGATAATGACACTTTGTAGTTGGGGGGATTTTTAATTGAGACATTACTATTTCAAGATAAATAAAAATATTTTCACATTTCTCATACCACATGGATTGGGATATGGGAGAGTAGAACGAATACAGATTAAACAAGATGAGGCACCAATTAGTATTGTTTAAGTTGAATGTTGAGTATAATGGATTTATTATACTGCCCTTGCAGTATAATACATGTATATACATGATGATTTTTTTCCTATAAAGGGTTGAGGAAACTTTTTTTTAAAGTTAGATTTTTTAGATTTCACGTGGACAAATACAGGATATCTGGACACATAAAGAATATTCAGATATGAAGGTGGCAAAGTTATCAGCTAACCAATGTAACCTAAATCTTGAATCTAGACGAGTAGCAAAAATAAATCATTGCAGCAAGTAAAGGAATAGTAGTGGCACATTTTAAATTTGGTCTTCTTTAAAATTTTAAAGTTTCTTAAACCCACCCCCCAAAAAAAAGAATGGGCACATTTTTCCCCAAAAAGCCAACTTATATAATATATATATATGTATTATATATATACACATGTATGTACATATGTGTATATATGTAATATGTATACACATCAGAAATCCAGTCAAATATAATTAAATACTTATATTTATTAAAAATAAGACTATCAAAAACTGTGTAAGTTAAACTATCTCTACTTAGTCTTCAAACTTACTTGTAAACATCTGCAGGCGCCTTCTCCTTACTAAGAGGGGCCACACAGCAACCAAGGCTAATCATCACAAAACAGAGCCACGAGTAAACAGTTCTTATAAATACTGGTACCACAGGTAGCAATGATGAGCCAAATTCTAGGTATCATTTTCTACTAGGTGACATGCTGCCATTTCAATTCCATTTTAAAGCAAGAGAGACAGAGACATAGGAGGAAACAGTCAGAAAGAGGTCACACTGTACATTACCCCCAGACCTTACAAAGTTTAAGCAACAGTTAGAATTATCCTAATAAATGTTGAGCCTCAACTCTCAAAAGAATCATTTAAGAGCCATTTTAGCCAGTAAAGCACCAGGTCTAGAACCAAAGGGTATTATTTCATCTCCAGCATCCAAATCTGTGGCCACCAATACCACCACCGCCACCACCCTTTTCCTCCCCCAACCACTGGCCACCATCCAGCAGTAGAAGCCCAAGCCAAAAAAAAAAAACAACAGTTCAAACTGAAAAGAACAACACTGGCAGAAAGGTTTTCTTTTTAAAATATTTAAACCCAAAACCTAAACACAGAGAACCAGCGATCTAAACCTGTACAGTTACTGCATGTGAGGTTTGAGCTATCATTAACAAAGCTTGCACTTTAACATTGCAAACAATACCATAGTAACAGAAAAGAGAGAGTGAAAGGGAAAAGTTTCCTTCAGGAACCTCAAACCACCATGTCAGGTACATGAAAGGCTAGAAACCAACCCCTATCTTGGCTTTGTGCTTAAGAAAGCTGGACCAACTCTGCAGAATCTCAAAGCCTTCTGCTTGTGTGAAGTGCATGTGGTGTGTTGGGGGTGGGGATAGGGAGGGAGGGGGAGGAAAAAGGGGGACTGCATTTATAGAGACCAATGACCAATGCCAGCACCAAATCAGATCTGTCCAGGAAAAGAGTGTTTCTCCAGACCTTTGGGCAGTCTCTTTATAGCCCCCTCCCTCTTGTGGCTCCCCCCACCCCCCAAGAAACTGGTTAGCTAGTAGGAAAATGTGCATTTGGAAATCAACACTGCAGGTGCCCAAGGAATAAAGATACACACACACACACACACACACACACACAGCCAGTCAAAAGAAAAAGAAAAAACAGACATTCCAAAAAAAAAAAAAGGAAGAGGGACAATTGGGTGACAAGCCCTTCAGACCCAGCTAGGATTTTATTCTTTCTGCCCATCAGTCGTCCCTGGTATACCTTTTTCTGTCCTTTAACCAAATTGGTCATGTACACACACACATGTGGATATGTATGGTATAGATATTATAATTAACCCTTTCTGTTATAGAGCCCCATATGGAATACAAGAATACAGAAAGATATTCCATCCTTTCCTCTCTTTCCCCTCCTCCCTCCTTTCTCCCAACCAGGAGAAAACGCCCCCTTCCCCAGCTTCACCAAAGGGGGGGTGGGGGGTTAGGGTAGGTAGGGAAGCATAGAAACCACAAAACCTCATCCGTCTCCGCTCCTGAGGGCACCCAAGAAAGGTATATACTCCAAGAACACACACACACACACACACACACACGGACATATGGCTCTGTAGAAAGCACACAGAGAACAGTCCACAGGCGCCCCAAACCCAGCAAAGAGACTTCAGCAGCCAAGAAGCCATGATTGGGTAGGGAGAGGAGGAATGAGTCGGGGCAGAGCTATCCGTGGAGGGGGGTGCATTGTTGTGATGCCTGAACCCCTTTCTCTCTGCCCATCTGCTGAGGAGGGGGTGCAGGGAGGGGGCGCAGTGGAAAGGCGAGCGAGAACGAGGAAACGAGGAGACCAGGCACGGCTTCGCGATTCCCTCCTGCTGCCTATCTGCCCGCGCCCCCCAGCTCCCCCCAACAATAAGACCTCAGCCTAGACAGACAGACTGACAAGACAGACAGACAAGCGCGGCGGGGGAGGCAGCAGAGCCGGGCGCAGCCGAGTGGGGTCGTGCATAAAGGGAAACCGGGGGGAGGGGGTCCACCTTACCTCCAGCGCTTCAAAAGTGACAAAGCTGGTCATGGCAAATCCATCAATGATGTCCTCTTCGGCCGAGGTGGACTCTCTCCGCTTCCTCCGCGGGGGTCTGGGCCGGGACGGGGCGGAGGACGGGGGCTTCCCATTGTCTTCCTTGTCGGAGCCCG